CATCAGCATCATCAGCAGCATCATCATCATAATCATCAGGATCATCATCATCATCGTCATCGTCATCATCATCATCAGCAACAGCATCATCATCATCATCATCATCATCATCATCATCATCATCATCATCATCATCCGCATCAGCATCATCATCATCATCACCATCATCATCATCAGCATCATCATCAGCATCATCATCATCATCATCTTCATCCTCATCCTCATCCTCATCCTCATCCTCATCCACTTCCTCCGCCTTCACCGCCTCCTCCGCCTCCTTGTCCTCCGCCTCCGTGTCCCCCTCCTCCTCTTCTCCTCCTCCTCCTCCTCCTCCTCCCTTTCCCTCCTCCTCCTCCTCCGCCCCCTCCGCCTCCTCCTTCTCCTCCTCCTCCCCCTCCTCCTTCTCCTCCTCCTCCCCTCACTCCGGCCTTCCTCCTCCGCAACCTCCTCCTCATCCTCCTCCTCCTCCTCCTTTCTCCTCCCTCCTCCCTCCTCTTCCTCCTCCTTCTCCTCTCTCATCATCATCATCCTCATCCTCATCACATCTTCCCTCTTCCAGCTCCTCCTCCTCCTCCTTCTCCTCTCCCCCCCCACCTCCCCCTCCTCCTCCTCCTCCTCTCCTCCTCCTCCTCCTCCTCCTCCTCATCCTCAGCCCCCGCCCTCCGCCTCCTCCCGCCTCCTCCTTCTCCTCCTCCTCCCTCCTACCTCTCCTCCTCCTCCTCCTCCTCCTCCTCCTCCTCCTCCTCCTCCTCCTCCTCCTCCTCCTCCTCCTCCTCCTCCTCCTTCCCTCTTCGACCTATGGTAGTGGCAGCGGCATCGGTACCTTGACTTCCTCTGAGACGGGCTGCGCGCGGGGCCCCCGCGCCGCCCCTCCGCTCCGCGCGCGCAGGGCCATGGCCGCGCAGGCGCGCCTGCAGCGACCCTCGCGGGCCCAGGGTGAAGGGGCCCTGGGACACACAAATAAATGCACGGAAGTAAAAGAACTCCCCATATTTTCCTACATGTTCTGGGTTTCTGTCTTCCCCCCCACACTTCCCACATTTTCATATATTTTCCTGGGAATCGCCGATTAATTGTGTCTGTGTGTTTTTTCCCCTCCTGACAAGGCCAAGCCGCGGACTCCGCCGGGCGGACGTCGCCGGGCGGCGCCGCCGGGCGCGCCGCCCAGGAGAGGCCCGCCCCTCCCGTAAGAGGGTGCGGGCGGGACGGGGGGCCCGCGGGGCCCCCGGGGCGGGTGCCGTGCATCTGGGGGGCGCTCCGCACAGAAGGAGGAGAAGGAGGAGGAGGAGGAGGAGGAGGAGAAGGAGGATGGGGAGGAGGAGGAGGAGGAGGAGGAGAAGGAGGAGGAGGAGGAGGAGGAGGAGGAGAAGGGAGGAGGAGGAGGAGAAAGAGGAGGAGGAGGAGGAGGAGGAGGAGGAGGAGGAGGAGGAGGAGGAGGAGGAGGAGGAGGAGGATGGGGAGGAGGAGGAGGAGGAGGAGGAGGAGGAGGAGGAGAGGGAATAGAGGGAGGACAGGGAGCCCGTCCCAGTCCACTGACTGGAGCTGCCGCCACCCAAAGGGTCGTGCGGCGTCGTCACGCGCAGAGGCTCGTGTCAATGCGTCGATCGCTCCACCTCGAATCGCTCGCGGCCCCGATCGTTCAAGATCGGATTCCCTCGGGTCCAGGGCGGTCGTGTCCCCGAGGCCTTCTGCGTCGCAGCGGGCGACGATCAGAAAATGGGTCTTGCGTGAGCTGGCACAGCGACCTTACGCAACGGCATACAGTCGGGCCGCCGAAAGAAGCAACGCCAAATAAGGAGCGAAGCCCCTTGTTGGCCCTGTAAGCGCCTCCGTGCCCCAGGAGGGCAAGAGGAGCAGCACTGGAGGAACCCAAGGAACATCGAGCCCCTTCCGAGCCCAAACTGTTCCTTACTTCAGCGTCTTGCCTGTACGGCAGACCTTACCCCGTGATTCCAGTGCACAGTTGTGTGGCTTCGGGGTCGAACCACGAACCAGCTCCCCCTACATACCCCGGGGTCCTGGCTCTACCCGATGCTCCAGGTCGCGTGCTGCGGTGCGTGAAGAGGGGCGCACGGAGGCCAAGAGAGGATGCGTGGGGAGGTCGAGGAGGGTGGGGCCGGAGGGCGGGGGAAAGGGAACGGAGAAGCATGATGACGAGGAACAGGTGGAGGACGTATGGCGGAACGATGAGGAAGAAGAGGCGGGAGGAGGTTGTGCGGGTTGAGGGGATGGATGAGGAGAAAAGATCAGCATAGACAGAATCAGGAGAACGAACAGGCGGAGGGGCGGAACTTTTGAGACTGGCCCTCCCGATGCCCGAAAAGAATTATCCCGAGTCGTGGGCCTCGAGCCCACCACGGAGATAAACAGACCAGCCACACCTGCTGGAAGCACCAAGGCCCAGACAAGAGAGCGATGCACCATGGGCGGCGTTGCATCACTACGCGAGATTTCGGGGTGGTCGATCGATCTCCGCCCTGGGGCCCTGGGGAGGGCAGACGCGCTCACAAGAAGAGTACAGAGGTAGAGCAGCGGCTTCTGGCTTCGAAGAGTGGCCTTGGACACAGCTCCGACTCGGGGCGCACGCCGGCGGCGCGCAGGATGCTTCTTAGAAGGCGCTAGCCTTACATCTATAGTCAGCGGTGGACAAACCCACCTTCAATAAACCTCCCCTTAGTGAAAACGGCCTGGGACCAAAACCGACGGACCTGGACCCGCAAAAATGACGGCCGCGACGCTCTCTCGCGAACCGAAAACGGCCAATTCCTTAATCGACGTGTCAAGGTAGGAGGTCGATCCACCGCCGATGGAGATGAGGCCCGCGATTTCCACGAAACAGGGTGTTTCTCGGAAGCCTTCCCACCTTGCCCTAACCCTCTGTGCGCATGACGGGACCATGCCGTCGCTCGGACGTCCATTTCCCGTGCATTTTTCGGGTTCGTGCGTGTTTTTTGTTGCCCGATGGTTCAGGATGTTCCTCCAGGGTCCTCGACGAGAAAAAAATGCACACGTCCGAGCGATGCCAGGGGACACGGAGGACCAGTCTCACGCGCGCCGCCCGAGGGCACCCCGACCACCCCCCTTCCCCGTCCTTCTTCTTGCGCTGCCGCAGGTTCCGCTGGGGCAGGTCCTCGCGGCCCTGGCGAGAGGACACGGAGGCCGCTCGGGCAGCAGTCGCGCCCGTCAGGGTAATCGGCGTGTCTGCTGGCACGCTCTGCGACGCCTCGGCTCCTTCGGCCTGCGGATCGGACTGTGCCGGGCCGGCCGCGTCGTCTGCGGCCTCGGGCTTGTCGAGACCTGCCAGCTCCTTCAGAAAGGTGACGAGACGAATCAGCGGCAAGCTGATGAAATTGATCCGCCAAGCTCTTCGACTCCACAGGCCAGTGGGGAATGAGACAATGGCGATGCGTGCCTGCCCGAAGAGCCGAGTACGTTTGCGGGTTGGCCACATGCTTTCTCAAACATGGTACACTTATTGAAATTCGCTAGGCTCCAACCATTTGCACTGTAAGTGCGCATGCGCACACACACACACACACACACTCGACCAAAATGCTCGCACTTTTGCAGACTCAGCCGTTCACATGAGTACTTAATCCGTCCAGCCCGTTGGGCGGATGTGGTTCGGGGGGGTCCTCTTCCATCCCCTTTTTACCCCCAACCCCACCCCACCTCACCCCATCCCCAACCCCCGGTTCTGGACCGCGCGTTTCGCGAGGCGCTGGATCGTCCAAGATGGCCCAAGATGGCTCCAAGAGGCCATCCACGAGGCCGTCCACGATCGCTCACGACTCCGATGGCTCCCAAATACTCTAAGCGGCCCCAAGACCGCACCGAGCCGGCTGCAGGTGGCCACGGAGTTGCCAAGGACGCCACCCAGAGCCCAGAGGCCAAAATCCGTCCAACACCTGATGAAGCTCAGTGTAAGTTGTCTTGTGGCTGTGTTGCGTGCGATAGACTTTGGAGGACTCAGGATGGCTCCAAAGTGGCTCCAGAGGGCCCCAAGAGAAGCCCAAGAGGGCTCCAAGAGGGCCCAAAGAGCGCCCGACAGCGCCCAAAGTGCACCCAAAGAGCGCTCCAAGATGGCTCCAATGGGTACCAGCTCGAGCAAAAGAGGGGCAAACCCCAATCCGCGCCGCTCCTTCTTTTAAAACGATGTCCTTCAGGAGGGCCACCAGTCCCCAGGAGGGTCCCAAGAGACATCTAAGGCGGCCTCAAGTGGCCACGAAGCCTACCAGGAGACCCCCAAGAGGTCCCCAAGAGGCCCAAGACACCCTCTTTGTGTCACAGCATGTCGGCCCACGTCCCTGATCACAACAACTCGCCTATGCATTGCAGCTTGATGGGCTGGTGGAGATATGGGAAGCGTCAATAATCCAGACACGCCTGCTCAATAAACGTGGGGGGGGATCGCGTGGAGAGGAAGGAATGGGATCACGTTTGGGGGTGTGGGTGATCGCGTTTGGAGGGGGATTCGGCGCGCGCAGGGGGCTGGAACGGGCCATCGGACGGGGTGGCATGGGAAGGGGCCCGGGAAGGGGGGTGTACGCAACAATGTGAAATGCCTTCCGCCCTGCCCCACCATCCGGCCCTCTGGCAGAAGAGGAGGGCAAGGAGGAGATGCAGGGAGAGAGAGAATGGGGTATATGAGGAGAGAGGGAGGGGAGCAACATATGTAGGTGGACGGTGGAGCGCAGTCAACCCGTACACGAAGGACGCACGATAGGGATGCAAGGGCCTTGGAAGGCCATGTCGACACGTTGCGAGCGGGGCGTGGCCAGCGAAAGCGGCCAAGGATTGTCCGAAGGGGAAGGATGCAAGGGTAACCTTGGAGAGTTGCTCATCCTTGCTATGCGTGTTGACTGTAGGAGGTGATGTAGAGGAAGAGAGCAGAGGCAGGGAGAGGACATTTCGACATGCTTAGGGGTAGGTGTTGGCGGCGAATGACCCTAGGCCTTGAGATAACTGTCGGCCACGGGGCAATGACCACTGTTGTGAGTAGACCGAGCACGAATCGCAGAATCCCCATGCGCCACAAGTATGTGAACAACTGCTTGAAAAGTCTGAGCAAAAACGTCATCCAAAGCACATTCAACAACGTGGTCATGATACCCGCTTCGAATGTGACCAGACTCCAGGCCAACCGGGTACCGAGTTCCACGTAGTCCGAGATACCGAGTGCGCTCAGGGCTCCACCAACCTGCGCAAAGGCATGCACCAGTGCCATCTCCAGCTCACCCTCGTAGCATTGGACGCTGGTGGCCCCCTTCTTGCCCTTCAGCATCCTGGTGAGCTCGTCCTTCGCAGCGGATGCCCTGGTGAAGATAATCTCGCCCCGACGAGACTCTGCTGCAGAGGCGTCTCGCTTTAGCCTGCCCCTGAGGCGATCTGGATGGCTGCACATCGACAGCCCGCGGAAAGCCTTCTTGACTTCCGACAGCGTGACCGGACTTTGCGTGCCGAGCACCGCGCACGGCGAGTCGTTGTACACGATCTGCAGCTTGGTCAGGAAGAACACCCCCAGGACGAAGATCACCCACCACGGCGCGGGCTGCCACCGAAAATACTCGGTGATCTTCTTCTGCTGCTGGCCCGGCACCGGGGCCTGCTCGCCTGGCCCATCCCCCCCCCCTCTGGAAAAGCCACAACAAGATAGCGATGCGGATGCTCCCCATCTCCTGGGTGCGCGCTGACAGGGATTTCGAGCCGAATCTAGCCGTGGCGGCGAGGGCCTCCCGGGAGGCCCAAAAAGGCGAAAACGGCGGAAACGCAGCAGCTTGAGGCCTCCAAAATAGGGTCCGAGTAGATGGGATCGAAGGACCCCGCCGAATCGCCGATGCAGCAGGGATGCATCGGCGATGCATCGGCGTCGTCTGCCATGCATCGGCGGCGTCGGCTTGGAGAAAATCGGGCTCCGCATCGGGCCGCGCCGCCTGTGCATCAGCGAAGCGGCGCGATAATCGACCCCATCTGCTCCGACCCCATCTGGGAGGCCTGGAGCAGTATCGATACCTGTTCTTCCTCTGGCCCCTCCTCCGCGGGTCCCTGAGGCCCCTGGAAGTCCATGGAGGCCCCCGGGGGCAACCTGGGGGTCTCTGCCAGGGGTCACCCAAAGGCACCAGGACGGTCCCTGCCAGAGGCCCCGACAGAAACCTCCCAAGCCATCCCGAGAAGATACCGAAAGCAAAATCAAAGCACGCCCCCAAGCCAGTGTCCTCCAACGGGGCTGTGTGCAGCGGCCCACATCCCCGACTCTGCGAGGCTCCCAAACGGACCAACAATTTCAACCTCGGGAATCTTCGGGAGCGGCCAAGAGGGGGGTGTCCAAGAGGGGGGGGTGCAAATCATGACCGGCGGCATGTGCGCGGCCCAGCGGGGGGGCCAGGGACGTAATGAAACAAGAAGAGGCGCCATGAAATCTGGGGAGATATCATGGCCCACGCCATGATATCCACCCCCCCCTAGTCATCACCCCCCTCTTTTCCGCTCCGAAATCTACGACGGGGGGGCGACCACCTTCGAGAAAAGGTGCGTCCCGATGTCCCGCTCCTGGTGGATCCCCGAGTTCCGCCGAGATTGAGCGGTCGGACCTCTCGGGGGGCGGCTCGGGGATTGGGGGCGCAGGAGCGCCTGTGAAGGCAGCCCCCGAACCGGTGTCCTTCATCCCATCCTGTGGCAACCAATAAGAGCCTCCCGCGCCGTCCTGTCGACGATGACTCTGCGCCTGGTCGACGCTCTGTCGGCGCTCCTCCCATCGATCACCACTCGCCAGGCACACGATGCTGCATGCTGCAAACGACACTGCGCGGACATACCGAACCCAGTTTTGGAGGCCTGGAAATTGGCACCAACACCAACACAGAGGTTTGCCTCCACAGGGGGAAAATGATCCTAGATTTCGGTGTCAGTGGTAATAGTTCGGTCACCTTGGAAGCCAGAATATTACCACCATCACCGAGATCGGGATCTTCTTCCCTCGGTGGAGGCACACCGCCGAAATTGGTGTTGGTGTCAACCTCTAGGCCTGCGACAGTTGCCTTCGACCCCCTCTCGCCTGGGCCCTTGCCCGCGGCCGCCGACGCCATCCCGAGGAGAGCGGCGCGGCCGCGCCCCGCCCAGGGAGAGGCCCCCCAAAGGCGGCGGCGAGGCGCGGCGCGGCGCCCTGCGGCCGCGACCGGCGAGCACGAGATCCGCCGAGGGGGGCGGCAGGCGTGCAGGCCGCCAGAGTACAGGGCAGTTTTTTATACATGGGAATTTTAAGAGTATCGGATTCTTAATACATGACGAATTTATGAATAGATTCACGCATGCACTCATCGTTGTTTCTAGTAGTAAATCCCTGCAGTTTTTATACATGATCCGCACGCGGAGCATGTGTTGAAAACGGCACTGTACGGGGGCCTCGAAGCGCACGTCGACGTCGACGGCGCCCGACGCCGTCGCCCCCGACGCCGGCGCCCGACGCCGTCCCTCGACGCCGTCCCTCGGCGTGCGTCGTCGTTGTCGTCCGTGACCGTCGCGCGACAGCGTCGACGTCGTCGCACGTCAGCGTCCGTGGGCGTCGTGATCGTACGTCTTCGTCCTCTGGCGTCGCCGTCCACTGTCGTCATTGATGTCTTCGTCCGTCGTTGCTGTCCGTCGCCGTCGCCGTAGCCGTCGCCATCGCCGTCAGCGTCGCCGTCGCCGTCGCCGTGCGTCGCCATCGCCTCTCGTCGTCGTCGTCGCAGTCGGCGTCGTAATTGTCGTCGTCGTCGTTTGTCGGCGTCGCCGTCCGTCGCTGTCGCCTGTCGTAGACGTCGTCCATCGTCGGCGTGGTCGGCGTCGTCATCATCGCTGTCGTTCGTTATTCTTGTCTCGCGCCTGAAAAACTCCCAACAAGCTCCCCAGAGGTGACCTGGGCAAGCCTCAGAACCCACAAGAACCACCTGCGACCTGTCCCTCCGTGACGGCTCCTGAGAATCTCCCTGGATGGAGCAGTGAGTCCTGACCGCCCCCCGAACCTCCGACGTCGTCATGTCTTGCAACGCGCGGGCGCAGGAGCTCTCAATACCCCTCTCGGGGGCCGGCTTTTCATGCTAGATCGGTTCGATGCCTGCTGTGGGACCGCTAATCCACAGACATCTCCTGGGAAGCATGCTGACCACAGAATCTCGAGAAGAATCCAGCCGTAGCGGTAAAGCCTCTCCAGGACGAGCAGCGGCGTCAGTACGGTAGGTTCGAGCGGCGTTGGCGGGCGCAAATGTTTTGACACCGCGTCGATCGTTCAAGCTTGAATCGATCGCGGCCCCGAACG